AAACTTCTTGTTGTCAAGTATAACTTCATTGTATCTTTAGCATTCAATATATCAAAATACACACCAGGGTCTTTAAAGATGTATCTGATGCCATCTTGGATCTCAAAATCATACTTGCTCCTTTGCCGAAATAGCCACTGACAACTTGCATGACGAATTTTTACAAAGTACAATGAGGTAAAACATTAAGTTTGATCTTAACTTGTTTTTTGCAACCAAGGGAAAAAATCTGGCTGCTTTTTAAGTAGAAACCAATCGGGGCTTTTCTGTTCTGATTTAATTAAAAATTAGCCCAAACAATTCATGGCAGTCCTTAAAAAAATTTAAACAATTTCCATTGTCACTTTCTGAGACTTAATATTTTAGTGGAATTACAATAATTAAAACTGATTCTGATTTACGAGGATGTCAGAAAATTATTTCAGTATTTGACGATTTGGATGAAACCCTAAATTGTCAAGTGTTTTTCTTTTCCTTTAAAGAAAAGAATGGGAGGAATATGAAACCTATGTGAAACAACACCACCACCACTAAACAAACCAACACCAAAACCCCAACCCTCGATGTCCAAATATTTATAGGTAATATTGAGGGTGAAGCATTCTATTCACACAGGCAAGATTTCCACCGTATTTAATTTGTTCCGTAAGAACCAGGGCTTCAACAGGCTCTAATAATGTTTAAGTAGCATATGATACATATTAGTGTATCTTTGCCTGTGAGACATTTTTCCCCTACAAACCTGCTTCAGAAGTTTATAAATCTTAAAGAATAGCATACACTATTCTAAGTGAGAAAGCATTAAAGTAATAGTTTATTTGCAATTCATTTAACTAGGCATTAACAGCTTCATTTTACAAACAGAGTATTTGTAAAAATATCAGAATCATTCTATCCACTTATAGAACAACACACTCAAAAAAGTAGAGCCCTGGCAAGTTCCAAACAATTTTCAACAATATATATATTCCTGTGAAGGTCTCTCACTTTCCCAAAACAAGAAATTATGTTGAAATACTGCATGCTTAATAGTTAAAGATATGGTTAAGAGAGCCGAATCTTTATCCATATTCAAAGCTCAGCCATGAAATTGTGTTACTTCCTTCTCTTTGAAATCAATTTACGACAAAAATACTCAAGCTGCCCACTCAATTTCTGTCCTAAACTGGAGAAAACCCCCCAAAGAGTAAGGCTACATTAGTGGGGAGACTTTTTATCTACGCGTTTTATTTTAATTTAGAAGGAAAAACAAAAGTTTGCCGTTCCCGGGGTCTTTCTGGCTTCACAACGCGGGGTTAAAAACAGCTTTTCTCTTTCATCTGTTGTTCAAATAGCAAGAAACTCTCCCGAATAAAAGTCCATTGTCTTCTCTTCACTCTCCGAAGAAACTGGGGTAATTTTACAGCACTCTTTTTACAAAAAATATGAATTTATAACTCCGAAGAAACACAGACTCGGAGGAGGAAAAGCTCTTCCTGGCTAACAGTTAGGCGGGCTCTGCAAAGCACCAATCACAGATCACCGCTTCGCTATAAATTCAGGCATCGGGGTTACTGTAGCCCAATTACTTTCTTTTGATTAGGAAGAAGTCTCTGCAGCGATGTCGGAGACCGCTCCCGCCGCCGCTCCCGCTGTCGCGGCCCCCGCCGCCAAGGCTGCCGCCAAGAAGCCGAAAAAAGCGGCGGGCGCTTCCAAAGCCCGCAAGCCCGCGGGGCCCAGCGTCACCGAGCTCATCACCAAGGCCGTGTCCGCCTCCAAGGAGCGCAAGGGGCTCTCCCTCGCCGCGCTCAAGAAGGCGCTGGCCGCCGGCGGCTACGATGTGGAGAAGAACAACAGTCGCATCAAGCTGGGGCTCAAGAGTCTCGTCAGCAAAGGCACCCTGGTGCAGACTAAGGGCACTGGCGCCTCCGGCTCTTTCCGCCTCAGCAAGAAACCTGGAGAAGTGAAGGAAAAGGCTCCCAAGAAAAAAACAACCGCAGCCAAGCCCAAGAAGCCGGCGGCTAAGAAGCCCGCCAGCGCCGCCAAGAAGCCCAAAAAGGCGGCGGCGGTGAAGAAGAGCCCCAAAAAAGCCAAGAAGCCGGCGGCCAGCGCGGCCAAGAAAGCAGCCAAGAGCCCCAAAAAGGCGACGAAGGCTGCCAAGCCCAAAAAAGCGGCGGCAGCAGCGAAGAGCCCGGCCAAAGCGAAAGCGGTGAAGCCGAAAGCAGCAAAGCCGAAGGCGGCCAAGCCGAAAACAGCTAAGGCGAAGAAGGCAGCGCCCAAGAAATGAAGTGCTGAAGAGGAAATACTTAAACCCAACGGCTCTTTTAAGAGCCACCTACTATTGTCCCCAAAAGGGCTGATACACTCCGTCACTGAGCTCCGTGCCTGCAGCAGAGCTGTCCACACGCCGCTATCCGTGTGGGACATTTGTCTGGGGAGTGGATGGGACGCTAAATTTCCGGCTGTGGTTACGCTAAGACTTGGAAAAAATAAAAGTCTACATTCCCTGCGAAAACGCTTTCTAAAGGCTGCCTGCTTTTTTTTTTTTTTTTTTTTTTTTTTTTTTTTTTTTTTTTTTTTTTTTTTTTTTTTTTTTTTTTTTTTTTTTTTTTTTTTTTTTTTTTTTTTTTTTTTTTTTTTTTTTTTTTTTTTTTTTTTTTTTTTTTGAGCACCGCAATTGGGTGTGTGTGTTAAAGGGACTAAAGGCGGGTACCTTTCTAGGGCGTGGAGGTTTCTCTCATTGCTCTTATCAGCGCGATTCCTAATAGCATGGATGCAGCTGCCACACCTCTTGGTGACCGTAGCAGGGAACTGTCAGCACCACTCCTCCGCTTTCTTGGCAATGACCTTTCCGCTTGCCAGCGCTGCCGTGGGGCAGGTCCTGATTTCTGCGTGACTCGACCGACCTGCTTTTTCGAGAAGGAAATCGGCGGGGAGGGAGGCGAGGGGAGGCACCAGCTTTCCTGTTCCGCATCCTGCCAAGCTGGCGGCGGCGCAGCCGGAGCGGCGGGAGCTCGGCCGGGCAGCTGTCCCGGAGCGCGGGGTTTGGGGAGGGGGGTCGAGGGGCTGCGCGGGGGAGGAGCGGGCCAGGAGCTCCCCCAGCTCGGGAAGCGCGGCCTGGGGCCGCCTGTGATTGGCTGATGGGAGAAGCCGCAGCCGCTCATTGGGTGGTTAGGAAATTTGGAAAAGCCCGCGCTACAATGCGGGGAAGAGAGGGAAAAAAGGGAGGGGTGGGGGCGCACGGAGCTCCCCCGTGCTGGCCCCGCGCCTGCCGGTACTCCCGGCTCCCCGCGCTCAGGGACACCTCGTCCTCCTAGAGCGCCTACCCCCTCTCAGTTGCTGTCGCTTCTCACATTTTGTCCTTGCCTTATGATCCTGTCTTCTCACAGAGAAGAGCAAATGTTTAAGTTTAGACTATTCCGGGACATTGTTCAGGGTCGCCTATTTTCCTTTTTTATTTTGATTTAATTTAGCCATGTGATTGGAAGCTATGCAAAATACACAGTTTTGATGGAACATGAAGCATAATGTACAGTCACATCTTTACTGAATAAAAAGGTTAATAGTTTATTGCAAAAACATTTGAACGTTATTTATTAATCAAAACAACTGAATTTATTTCAAGTTATAACTCGAGGTTTTCAGAGATGGATTAATTATCACTGCAAGCTACAATGAAAGATTGAACA